GATCTCTTGACCTCGTGATCCACCCGCCTCGGCCTCCCAAAGTGCTGGGATTACAGGCTTGAGCCACCGCGCCCGGCCTCCCATGAGTTTCTTAAGTGAAGGTTTGCAGTAATTCTGGCTCTTAGAAAAAATCATCTCCCCTGAAAGGGAGACAGGGTAGTAGGAAATCCCAAACACACCTTTTCCCCAGAACTATTAAGGGTCAGAATAGCCAAGAATCATCAGTCACTTCCCCTGCTGACCCTCTGGGGAAATGCTACTATGAAAACATAGGGCCAGAAGGCAGAAGCATAAGATTAGCCACCAGAGGCCAGCTCTTACAGATTGATGGTCCTTTGCCTACACCTTATAGCTATTTCAGGAACTAGTAAAGCATTCTAGTTAAGAGATGAGATCTGGAACCAGCTAGTTTGGTTTTGAACTCTGGATTCGCTACTTACTTGCTGAGTGACTAGTGACCCTGGGCAACTTGTATAACCTTCCTCTGCTTCAATTTCTGTACCTGTGAAAGGGAATTGTAGTAGCACCTACAGCGTAAGATTGTTGTGAGGATTCAATGAGATAATATATTCAAAGATATACAGCACTACCCAGGAAAAAGTACTCAAGCTGTTATTGTGCCTTTAGGAACCGGAGTTTATTGAAGGAGGAAGACCCTGCTGTGCTTATCTCTGAGGTCCTACGGAGGAAGTTTGCTCTAAAGGAAGAAGATATCAGTAGAAAAGGAAACTGATAACCCTCAGCTCTGCAAACTCAGTCTCATGCTCCTGGAATACCTTCAATAGCTGCCTTCCTCACTGCAGATGTTTCTGCCTCTCAAGGAGAAATCTTCAACAATCTTGCTGACAAGCTAGAGCTTGGACTGAAAGAGAAGACTGGATTGTATGCTTCCCAGACTTCAAACCCTAGCAGAAGCTAAGGCCTGTGATTTCACCTGAGACATTTGTTACAGGTAATTGTGCAGAATGAAGTGTCTCAGTTTAAAGGGTAAGAGAGAAGTTGTTTCTGGTTTTTCCTTGCCCCTGTGTGAAAATAGGTCCTAAATGACTGATTTACTTCACTGCATTAGACCCTATAATTGGTCTTACAAGACACTGTGCCCAGCTGTCACTCACTCTCAGCAGCTTCCTTGCAGCAGAGCAGGGCTGAGGGTAAGGGGCTATGTTTGTATACATGTTCACAGGGCACGGAAAATCTTATGCTGCTCCATCATAAACCTACACCAATGCCCAGCAATCACCCTCCTCACTTCCTTGTCTAGGTGTAGAGATCAGGCTGTTGAACCAGCTGATACATGGTCTATTGCTGGGAAGCCTGGGCTGTTTTTTTTCCTTAAAGATATTTTATATTACTGAACAACCAAGTCTACCCTCCAGGGCCCGAGGCCTTATCAGTTCCACTGATTAAAAGCGTTCTTTTCCACGGACTTTAAGCCCAGTAGGAAAGAGAAAGGAGGAGGGGGAAAGAGCATACCATCATCTTTCTTCGAGGCCCTTGACTGCTCCTTTGGGTTGGGCCAAGGTTTATACCTACCACGCCATGCATGACTCAGATGCCCTCAGGTCCCTTTCTCTATGGTATGTATACTTTGTGTGTTTGGGTTGAAGTACTACCTGACATTAAAGGAAGGATTTGGAGAGAGAATGCATTTACTGTGTCCATCTTTTGAGTTGTTGTGGTTACCCAGTATCCTTCAGGGATATAGGATTATTGTTAATTTTAAGGTGTATGAACTTAAACAGGCTACTGGCTTCTCCTCTTTCCTGCCCTTCTAGGGGGTTTCTTCCCCCTTTCTGTAGAGATTTTGCCCTACACTCATTTTTTAGAAACTGGGTCTAGCTCTGTCATGCCTAGGCCAGAGTGTAGTGGTGAGATCATTAGCTAACTGCAGCCTCTAAACTCCTGGGCTCAAGCGAGCCCCCCACCTTCTGGTACTACAGGTGTGTACCACCACACCCAGGACATTTTAAATTTTTTTGTAGAGATGGGGTCTTGCTGTGTGGCCCAGGATGATCGAACTCCTGGCCTCAAGCAGACCTACCACCTCAGTCTCCCAGAGCATTGAGATTATAGACATGAGCCACTGCACTCAGCTCCATACAATCTTAAAAGCAGTTCTTTCAGGAAAATGACCTGAGAGATGACATACAAGATAAAAGTAGAATTTAACATTTAAATTAGGCCAGGTACAGTAGCTCACACCTCTAATCACAGCACTTTGGGAGTTCAAGATCAGCCTGGGCAACAAGACCTCATCTCTACAAAGTAATTTAAAATTTAGCTGGCATGGTGGCATATGCCTATAGTCCCAGCTACTTGGGAGGCTGAGGTGGGAGAATCACTTGTGCCCAAGAGGTTCAAGATACAGTGAACCGTGTTCATGCCACTACACTCCAGGCTGGGCAACAGAGCGAGACCATGTCTCAAAAAAATAAAAAATTAAAAAAAAAAAAAAAAGCAGTTCCATCTTATAACCTGCAAATTTGTCCCCTAGAGATTGTTTAAGCCTCTTAGGTACCACATTAACAACAAAGGACAATGCCTTGGGTAGAAGACAGGTCAAACTAGACACTGGTTCAGATCAGACTCAGGGCAATGACAGCATATACTATTACAGCTAGTGCTCGACTTACGACCACGATTGGTTCCAACAGACCGATCGTAACATGATTTGGTCGTAAGTTGAGTAGGCTGTATGCACGCGGAGATGGTAGTGCTGCCGGAAGCTGGTCCGCACTGTCGTACACCCAGCTGGGCAACGTTTGCG